GAGGAGGAAGAGGAGGAGGAAGAGGAGGAGGAAGAGGAGGAAGAAGAAGCTGTCATAGAAGAAACTGAGGAAAAGGCTGGAGAGGCCCAGGAGGAGGCTGTAGGAGTACAGGAAGAAGCCACAGTGAAGCCCCAAGAAATCACCAAGTCCATGATCAATTTGGAGAAATTTATTGATTCCCAGTCAACCATGCCAGAAACTTTCCCAGTAAGTAGTAGCTGTAATTCATTCATCCATTCATTAATAATCATTAATAGAATGCTTAGTATACATGGGGATATAAAACCAAATAAGATACAATCCATTCTTTTAAGGAGCTGTAGGGCGTGTAGGGAGGCAGATCCATAACCAAACATTATAAAACAGTATGCTAAGTGCATAGGAGATTTTTAAAAGGGCTGCTTAACCCAGTTTGGAGGATGGTCAGGGAAAGCTTCCTGGAGGACGTGTGTGCCATAGCTGACTTTTAAAGGGCCAGTAGGTATTAACTGAAGTGTGTTTATCTTAGAACAGAGTCAGTGTGATAATAGTAATGTAGGCTTCCCACAGACCGCTCCTAATAGGAAAACTCAGCTCTGGTCAAAGGATAAGTAACACTGTGGCTAGTCAGCCTTTCAGAGACCAACAGTGTCACTTAGAAGAATGATTTTGCTGTTGTGAGTCGGCTAGTAGGCTAAGAATAAACCCGAACACACCCATGATTCATTTTTTTTTTAAGTACAAAGTGTTCCAGGCTTCTTTTTAAAACATTTCATAATTCCAAGGTGAGTCTACCACTAAGACTGGCTAATTAGACATAGAAAAGGGAAATAACTGGGGAAAAGTAGCAGCATGTACTGTATTTGGAATCACAGCCTCCTTTTATTTGTTTTTTAAGATAACCCATACACGTAGTGAGTCAAGGCATTCATTACAAGCAGAGTCCAGTTCCGAAACAAATGAGCTCTCAGAAGGCCTGAGCTCACAACATGAATTTCTTGATTTGGATCAAATCAGTACTGAGGAACAGCAGATTAGTTCCCCTGAAAAGCAGTCCTCAGGCGAGCTTGAGGAGAATATCGACCAGATGCCCCCAGATGAATTGGGACAAGAAAGAAGAGACTTGGTACCAGAAAAGGGAGTGGAGAGACAAGAAAAGAGAGTATCATATTTCCACAACGAAGGTGAAGGAAAACAATTCCAGTCCAAACAAGGTATCTGCAAGGAGTCACTTGTGTCTACCACCACAGAAGACATTTTGTTCCAAAAGGATGAGAACGCTGACGTTTATCCCTTGGTAAGTGTAACATGCTATTTAATTCCCCCAGTGCTTTGAGAGTATTGTGGAATAGGGGAATTTTATGCATGTAGAGGAAAAAATACTACCAGAAAGATACTTTTTAAACTAAAAATGGACTTGTGTCTTTTAAAGTTCAGTTAAGAGCTCTGTTTGGACATGTGTGACAGAACATGAACTTGAACGCTGCATCTGGGTTCAATAGTGTTGCTCAGCAGGCAGGAAATTCCGGACATAGTTTGTCTGCTGCAGAGGGTGCTATTTTGTGTGGGAGGCTCAGAATCAATCCCTCTCCCTCTCCCTGTCTTTCCTTCCCTCTCTCCTCCTCCCTGTCCCTCCCCTCCCTCTCCTCTTCCTTTCTCTCTCCCCTCCCCTCTCCTCTCTCTCTTGCAATACGCCTTCGCTCCACCAGTTCCTCCCTTTCCCCTTTTTGCCTCACCTCTTCTGCCTTCACTGGGTTGATACCTTTACATGCTCCCCAAATGATTCATTCCAAGATGGTCAGAAAGTGAAAGGCATGGCAAAAGTGAAAGCGACTGCAAGAAGCACCAGGCGGGCCAAAGGACTCTGCCTTTGCTGCTACTGAAAATATTCCAGGGAGGCACCATCTGTGAGGAATAAAAATATTATCATTTACCAAGAGAAGGAAGAGGAGGGGTTTTTTCCTTCTTCCTCCATCTGCTGCTTTCTGAAAATTGTATCCTAGGATTCATCCTTTTTTTTTTTGTCTTTTTTCCGTGTCCGGCAACGGATCGCAACCCTCAGTGTTGCCCCCTTACCGGACCGGGAACCGGCAACGGGATTGCAACCCTCGGTGTTGCTCCTGCGCCTTGCTCAGCCCGGGAACCGGTCTGTATGTGGGATCCGAACCCTCGGGCGGGAGCGCCGCCGCACTTCCCAAGCGGCGCACTATCCAGTGCGCCACCGTGCCGGCCCAGGATTCATCCTTTTTCTTTTCTTTTTTTCTCTTCCCCTGTAGATTCATGCCTTTGGAAGGTTTGGAAGTGATTGAGTGTATATAAAGTATTTAATGTTGTTCCTAACATATAGTAAGCACTTGATAAGTATTGATGATGATTATGATAATGGAAAGATGTCTAGAGGGAAATGAAGATAACTGAAAACCTTCTGTAGATTTGGCAGTGGAGTTATAAGTTCTCTCCAGTCTGAGAGAAAGAATCACTGAGTTTTAGGGCCCATGAAGGACTTTGTCTTGTTTAGCCAGCTATTAAGAAATCAGATAATATCGCTTATGAGAGTGAGTATTCTTTGTGTCAGGGCCCCAGCTGCCGGACTTGACAAGAGCCACTCCCTGGGTTGGGGTCTCCTGTTAGACTTAGTCTCACTGTGGATCCAAAACTTTTCTAGGCTGGCTCCCTTTTCAAATTTCTTGAGCTTTTTGAGTGTACCTTCTTTGTTCTTCCTTTTTCTTTTCCTTTCCTTGTCTTTTTCCTTTATTAATTTTTCTTTTTGTTAAAACCAATCAGTGCTTTTTGTAAAACATTCAGACAACACATACGTGTTTGAAGGCAAAGATTCCTCTTCTCACATGCACTCCCACCCCAATCCCATTTCCCTGTGATATCTACTGTTACAGCTTGGTATAACCTTGTATCTTGCCTGACCTTTACTGTGCATGCACAAAGATGTTATCTTTGAGCTCATGCATGTGTGTGGGTGCTTGCACACACACACAAGGCTCCCATTTAGTTTTTGTCTTGTTTTTCCCTGGGAGATATTCTGCATTTCTGCAAAATGTTTTTCCACTGAATTTGTCTTGGAAGGTTTCTTATGTCAGTGTGTGTAGCTCTACTTCCTCTCTTTAAATTTAACTGTTCCCCTCTCGATGGCCATTTATGTTGCTTTTAATTTCTTGCTCTCACAAAACGTGTACAGTGAACATGCTCCTCCATCTCTCTTGTGCCTGCAGCATCCTGCTTTTCCTTTGGGGCCCTTGCCTTAGTCCGAAGGCCTATAACTCAGTGCTCCCATCTCCAGCTAAGAAACAAAATAATTATGTATTTATGAGAAGGAGCCTTATGAATATCAAATATAGAGAAATCTGGTTTTAAAGTTTTGTTTTCCAGATCACCATATTTTAGAAAAAAATTGATGTAAGTTGTGGCTGTCTCCATGATCACTTGCCATGAATGTCAGAACTGGTGCAAAACGTGGTGTTTAATATTATGTGATTTCAGTAATTGTGAACACTGCTGGAGTAAGATAGTTCTGTTACTACTGAATGAAGTTAGCCCAGTTTTGATCTTGGAAGAGCTGTTTTAGCTGAAGACAGGGGTCTGTTGAGGAATGATTTGTTTTTGTTTTTGTTTTTGTTTTTTGTCCTTTTTGAGACCAGCCGCACCGCGCTCAGCCAGTGAGCGCTGTGAGCGCACCAGTCATCCCTATATAGGATCCGAACCCGCTGGCAGGAGCGCTGCTGCGCTCCCAGCGCCACACTCTCCCAAGTGCACCACGGGCTCGGCCCGAGGAATGATTTTTTTTTTTAATAGCTAATTTGTTAAATGGCAAAATAAATTTCCAGGATGAATGAGATGATCCTTTTAGTATTATCAAGTTTCCAAAAGAACAGTGTCATTTGAATAAATCAGCTTCTAAGAACCAGCCAAATATTAAATAATTCTGTTCCTAGAAGTTGCAACTTGAGACCATTATGATTCCATAATTCTACCACTCACACCCACACATTAAGAGATCTAAATATAAACATAAATTATAGGGAATGAGCAGATGGAAACAGGAGAGGATGGGGAATGAAGAATGTAGGAGAGAGAAAACAGCCACATTATCAGCTGTGTCTGTCTTGGGGAGAAGTATATGGTATATCAATTTAACTTTATAAGTATTCTTCAGAGATAAGAAAGGAAACTTACCAAATTTTGTTTCTATACTCCAGTATAATTCACTGATTTTTAGCAACTCATCACTTACTCATCACTTTCAACACTCTCTTGCATTTGATTTATTGACCCTAGTTAATTTTTAAAATATTATTTTATAATAATTTTTAAAATAATAATAATTATTGGGCTGACGTATAGCCACCATTCCAGTATCATACAGAATAGATTCACTGCCCCAAACCCCCACACTCCACCTGTTCAACCTCCCTCTCTCCCTCCCGCCCCCTGAGCCCTGCCAACCACTGATCATTTTACTCTCCATAGTTTTGCTTTTTCCAGAATATCATGTAGTTGGAATCATGTAGTATGTAGCCTTTTCAGACTGGCTTCTTTCACTTAGCAATATGCATTCAAGGTTTCTCCATGTCTTTTTGATGGATGTACCACAGTTTGTTTACCCTTAATTTTTGTAAAAGACTTTGAACACAAAATTTCTACAAAAATAAACTACTATTGAATTAAAAGCAGTAGTCAGATTTATATAGTACTTATTATTTTTCATTTCATAAAATTTTTATTTCGGGTTTATTCCTGGCAATACAATATGGAATTTTTCATTCTTCTAAGGCAATTTTGTCTCCTTATCCTTTACCTTCCAGGAAAAATGGTATATGAGAACCGAAAACCCAGGCTGAATAATTGCCTTTCTTATACAGTTACTTAATGACTTTATTATAACTTGTCTGTTTTACATGTCTCCAGGAAGTTAATGGAATTTCACAACATTAGGTGCTTACTATGTATCTGGTGCCAGCAGAGGTCTGGGTCCTGGGTAGTAGAAAAACAGGAAGTTATTTCTATCTACTGTTGAAGACTTTCTATTCTTTTTTAATGGAGATCTAATTCACATGCCATAAAATTCACCCTTTAAATTTTTTTTTTGAATAATCTTTTTGCTCCTTTATATTTTTATTTATTTTTCATTTTTTTTGGCAGCTGGTAGTAAGGGCATCTGAACTCTTGACCTTAGTGTTATCAGCACCGTGCTCTAACCAAGTGAGCTAACTAGCCAGCCTAAAAATTTTAATTGTGGTAAAATACACAGAACATAAAATTTGCCATCTTAACCATTCTAAGTCTTCAGTTCATTTGCATTAAGTACATTCACATCGTTGTGCAGCCATCACCACCATCCATCTCCAGAATTCTTTCATCTTGCACAATTGAAACTGCACCATCAAACAATGATACCCCGTACCCTCCTTCCCAAAGCCCCTGGCACCCACCCTTCTACTTTCTGTCTCTATGGATTTGACTACTCTAGGTATGTCATATAAGTGGAATCATAACAGTATTTGTCCTTTTGTGACTAGCTTATTTAACTTAACATAGTGTTTTCAAGGTTAATCCATGTTGTAGCGTGTGTAAAAGAATTTCCTTCCATTTTAAGGTTGAATATACAATTAAAATTATTCATTTGTTTATCCACTTTGTTTATCTATTCATCTGTTAATGGACATTTGAGTTGCTTCCACCTTTTGGCTATTGTGACAAATGTTTCTATGAACATGGGTGTACAAATATCTTTTGAGTATCTGCAGATCTTTTGGGTATATAACCAGAAATTTAATTGCTGAATCATTAGGTAATTCTATTTTCAATTTTTTGAGGAAAGCTGTACAGTTTTCCACAGAGGCTATATCATGTTACATTCCCACCAGCAGTGCACAAAGTTTCCAATTTCTCCACATCCTTGTAAATTCACCCTTTTATTTTTTATTTTTATTTTTTTGTCCTTTTTGAGACCGGCCACACTGCGCTCAGCCAGTGAGCACTGTGAGCGCACCGGTCATCCCTATATAGGATCCGAACCCGCAGTGGGAGTGCCGCTGCACTCCCAGCGCCGCACTCTCCCAAGTGCGCCACGGGCTCGGCCCAAATTCATCCTTTTAAAGCATACCCCCTATATAGGATCCGAACCCGCAGCGGGAGTGCCGCTGCACTCCCAGCGCCGCACTCTCCCAAGTGCGCCACGGGCTCGGCCCAAATTCATCCTTTTAAAGCATACAATTTATTGATTTTTATCATATTCACAGTGTTGTGCAACCATAGCCACTATCTAATTCCAGAATGTCTTCATCACCCCCAAAAGAAACCCCATAACCATTTAGCCGTCATTCCCCATTCCATATCGCCCCAGCCCCTGGCAATTACTGATCTATTTTCTGTCTCTATGGATTTGCCTATTCTGGACATTTTGTATATATGGAACCATACAATATGTGGCCTTTTGTGACTGGCTTCTTTCACTTAGCATCATGTTTTCAAGGTTCATCCATGTTGTAGCCTGCTGATGAGGGCTTTCTTTTTAAAATGGTTTCTCTTCAGTGGACTGTTGATGTGAAATCCTTCTCCTCCAGGGACTCGTGCCAGGAGCACCTAAAGCCGTAGGTCTGGGCTCAGCACACTATTGTGCCTTGCTAGTTTTACCTTTGTCTTCCAGACTATGACCTGGCTGTATGGATGGAACAGTTCTCTTCCTGTTTACTATATTCGAGATGAAAACCAGAGAGTTCTTCTGTACGTTTGTGCCCACACTGCGGTCCTCTACAATGTTTTCAGGAATAATCAGCACCACCTTCAGGTATGCAGGGTTTTTCTTCCTGAAAATAAAAGAGGTTGTCTTTAACTTGCATACAGCATTTGTTTTATATCTGGAGGGCTGGCTTCATTCTATCACTGTCATACTTTCTAACCTCTCCTTTGAACTACAGCAAATGCTGTCTTTAGAAACACATGTGAGTTTTCATTGTCTCTCTGATTCTAATTAGAATCAGTTTACAAACAGCAGTTGATGTTAATTTTATAGTTATAAAAATTTAAAACATTTATATTTTTTACATTTCTGCAAAACTGTGGACTATGTAGACCATGTCTCCACAGAACTCAGCCAGTGAGCTGCCGGTCTGTATGTGGGATCCGAACCCTCGGCGGGAGCGCCGCCGCGTTTCCCAAGCAGCGCACCGTAGCAGTGCGCAACTGGGCCAGCCCTATTCCTGACACTTTTGACCCCTTTCATTTTCATCATTTACTTATCCAAATGTCCTATTTCTTGGTGTCTGACTTTCCACTAATTGACCTGGTAAACAGTTCCATGTTATCCTTTCAATTGATGTGTATTTTTATAGGACCTTCCTTAGTCAATGCCCAGTTCAAAAACATCACAAAGTATTTACCAGGAGCCCAGTGAGTTCTCAGCATTGTGCCAGGGATCCAAGACACATAGGCACAACATAGGGAATTTACTTTCTAGAAGTCTAGAAATACACACGAATGCAGCTCTCCTTGGAGCTTAAGTGAATATGCAGCACTGAGCACAGTACTGGTAGCAGAAGAAGGGAGAGTTTGTCGTGGGCAGGCTCAAATAGTTGGGGAGGAGTGGGAATGGCCAGATGGGTGGAGAGAGCATGCCCTGCAGGAATTCAGCCTCACTAGGATCAAATGGCTGGGAATGGCCTTGACCATTCATTCATTCCACAGATATTTATCATGACCACTATGTTTTAGGTTATGGGTCTGTAGTCATGAACAAAACAGATCTAGTCCCTGCCCTCATGGAACTTGCAGTCTAGTATGGAGCTAGACATTAAACAAGTGAGCACATAGATATATGATTACAAATTGTTACCAGTGCTCTAAAGGAAATGAGAAACTGCTCTAAGAGAGAAAAATCTGGGTGAGAAGAGACTTACTTTAGATTGGGTGGGCAGGGACTAAAAAAGTGCTGTTTCTGCTAAGACCTGAAGGGTGAGAATGAGCCAATCAAGGACAGTTTGGGGGAAGAACATTCCAGATAGAGGGAGCTCCAAGTGCTGGGGGCCTTGTGTGTGAGGCTCAGAAAGAAGGCTGGTGTGGCTGGTGCACAGTGAGTGAGGGAAATGAAGAAGGAGGGAAGCAGGGGCCATTCATTTCCTGGAAGGGAGTTTGTTTCCAGAAGATTCCTCGGTTGTTTGGGAAAGGATTGTAGGAGGATAACTGTGGAAGGAGAGAGACCAGTAGGAGCCTTTTGCCCCAGAGCTGCTTAGTGACCTGATGTGAACAGTGTTCTAGGGGGATGAGGCTGGCAGCAGGGACCAAGGGGGCTCAGGGGGAGGGGAGAGGCCAGAAATTTATTCTCAACCTGCATTGGGAGTTGGGTTCATGCCTTGACCCCTAGGGAACCATTGTTCCTGTGGGGAGTGCATCCTTCAGGTGTTTTGAGGGAAAGAAAGTTTGAAGAGAAGGAGAAACTCCAGAGGAGGTCAATGGGAGTAGAATTTTTAGCCAGATGATCCTTGAAAGGAGCTCAGATCTCTCTGTGGGAGCCCAGTCTTTCCTGACGGTGCCCAAGGCTGGGCCACATCCTGGATGCTTGAAAGCATCTCCTCTCCATTTCCACAGGGCCACCCTAATATCATCTCCTGCGTCTGCATCAGTGAAGACAGGCGGTGGATCGCCACAGCAGACAAAGGGCCAGACTGCCTGATAATTATATGGGACTCCTTCACAGGGTAGGCTTTGTATAGTCACTTTTTTTTCTCCCTAATATCTATAGAGTACCTGCCACTGTGACTGAGCAAAAAATGAATAATACTGGTGCCTAGAAACTTGGTTTATTGGTGTCCCTGAGTAGGCCATGCTGAGGGAGGCTGAGTCACACTAACCCAGCTCACACAAGCTCAAAGCATAAACCAGATGCCAAATCTGTCATTTACAGTGAGAGACATTACTTTCACATGTAGGATAGATTTGCAAGTCGCTGGTCAAGCTGCCTCTTCTGGGCAGTTCTTAATGGTCACCACCAAGTATCCCTGCCTTCCCAGCTCTCCATTCATGTTTCATGCTGCCCATCCTCCCTTCTGTTAATACATTTCTTGTCGGGTGTGTTCTATCCATTGCCCTCACATAGTTTTAGATGTGTTAATGATGGGAGGCTTTCCACAGCTGCTGTTCCCCTGCAATCTCTCTCTACTTCCAACAACTCCCCTCTGCCTGCAGCCCACCATTGCCTTTTTAAAATTTTGATTAATAGACTTTTATTTTTTAGAAAAGTTTTAGATTTACAGAAAAATTGAGAAGATAGTATAGAGAGTTCCCATACCCCACACCTAGTTTCCCCTATTATTTACATCTTACATTAGTAAAGTTCGTTTGTTATAACTAATTAACCAGTATTGATACATTATTAGTAACTAATATCCAGAGTTTATTCCGATTTGCTTAGTTTATCCCTAATGTCCTTTTTTTTTTTTTTTTTTTTTTTTTTTTTGGGG